TAGATAGATAGATAGATAGATAGATAGATAGATAGATAGATAGATAGATAGATAGATAGATAGATAGATAGATAGATAGATAGATAGATAGATAGATAGATAGATAGGTAGGTAGGTAGGTAGGTAGGTAGGTAGATAGATAGATAGATAGATAGATAGATAGATAGATAGATAGATAGATAGATAGATAGATAGATAGATAGATAGATAGATAGATAGATAGATAGATAGATAGATAGATAGATAGATAGATAGATAGATAGATAGATAGATAGATAGATAGATAGATAGATAGATAGATAGCTAGCTAGCTAGCTAGCTAGGCTAGCTAGCTAGATAGATAGATAGATAGATAGATAGATAGATAGATAGATAGATAGATAGATAGATAGATAGATAGATAGATAGATAGATAGATAGATAGATAGATAGATAGATAGATAGATAGATAGATAGATAGATAGATAGATAGATAGATAGATAGATAGATAGATAGATAGATAGATAGAAAAGAAAGAAAGAAAGAAAGAAAGAAAGAAAGAAAGAAAGAAAGAAAGAAAGAAAGAAAGAAAGAAAGAAAGAAAGAAAGAAAGAAAGAAAGAAAGAAAGAAAGAAAGAAGGTTAGCTGCATATCCTCTACAGAAGTCTACAGGCTACCTCAGACCCACCGCCAGCACTTGGCTATTTGTGATTCTACTAGAGCAGTGGTTCCCCACCTTCCTATTGCCACGACCCTTTAAAACAGTTCCTCGTGTTTTGCCCCCCCCCCCCCCCCCCCCCCCCCCCCATCCTACCCCCAATTATACACTTATTTTCGTCGCTACTTCAAAACGTTCGTGAATATGTTTTCCAAAGGTCTTAGGCGTCCCCTTTTCCAAAGGTCTTTGGCGACCCCTGTGAAAAGGTCGTGTGACCCACAAAAGGGTCGCGACTCACAAGTTGAGAACCGCTGTACTTGGCGGATTGGTGGGTTTGTCCCCTCCAGGCTGATACGATAAAGGTTTACCATACCATCATGAAATGAAACAATCTCAGTCTGCACGGCAGACCAACAAGGCAGATCTCATATACCCCGTTCAATTCCCCAGCGAAGTTAGAATTAAAGCAACCAGTTACACCAGCCAGCTGTAACCTGCAGTCCTAAGCGGGTAAGGAGAGAGAGAGAGAGAGAGAGAGAGAGAGAGAGAGAGAGAGAGAGAATGAACAAATGAACGAACGAACGAACTTTATTTTCAAAGTGTTTAGAACTGGGCACTTAGGCCCGTCTGACATCTTGCCCTTCCGCCAAATCACCAATTAATGTGTAGATTGTTTCCTTTGGATGTAGATAATACTTTCCCTGCAGGTGTTAATTTTTTTCAAGACATCCTAATTACTCTTTTTGTCTGTCACGGTGTATACTGGGTATATATCTTACGGTGTTTGTTCTTATAGTCCTAGATTAAGTTTCTCTCACGGTCTAAAGGTCGCGGCTTTGTGTTTTGACTTCTTTGTTTTGTTCCTGACTAAAAGTTTTTCGGAAATCCCACTGTTGGTAGCGGGAGCAACAGAAATTCGTGCTTTGTGACCCGCTCGGCAGGCTTACAGTCCTTCTGCAGAAGGAGACTGAGTTGCATGGGATTAAGTCAAGTGGAGCTTCAGTCGTTTAAACACCTTTGTTTTCTTCTTCAGTCCAATGTGTGTGACGCAGACGTTTAGGTATGCCCGAGCCTTCCGTCTTGTATACCATCAATAATTTCTTGTATAAATACTTATCGTGAAAGTGTCTTTTTCTTCTTCTTCTTTTCTCTACCCCTGGAATGCTTTGTAGCGTCAGGGACAGGAAGAGATTCATGGAATAGACTCTTCTGTTCGCTTCGTAAATAATACTTTCCAGTGTCTCCGACATGTCCATGTTCTGCGTGGTCACCCTCTGGCCTCTGTTACCACTGTATCTGTATAGCAATGCTTCTTGTGGTGCCCTGTTTGTTGCCAGTCTTCTTAAATGAACAGACCATTTGATTTGTTGTCTACCAATAAAGTGCAGTATTGATTCTGTGCCCACTCTCCTCCTCATATCATCGTTTCTAAGTCGATCTTTTCAGGTAGAAATGATTCTGAACTAACTAATGTTAGACAGCTGCCAGATCCAGCCTAGAGTTTATTCACTAGAAAATAAGCAAACGATAGTTCACAGTAAGAAAATGACATTTCGCGCCTTTGGTTTATCTGGCAAATAGCTATAGACCTATACAAGTTGACAGAAAAGCAACTCTCTGTTTTAATACACTTACGAATTATTTATTTACGGTAATTTTTGTTGCATGGGTTTGATCTTACATGTATGAGAATGTAATTTGTAAACTAAATTTGCGAATCTGTGTTTTAGACTGATTGTTTTGTTTAAAAGTCGAAGTTCCACGAACACGGCTGGAGAGCAATAGAGTGCTCAGCGAGCTGCATTTTACAACGTTTGGAAATCCGTTGTTCGAATGCAAAAATGGTAGAGGACCAGTCGATGAATTTGAAATAGAACTTCATGCTAAACTCTTTTCTCGCTTATCCTTTTCTTGTAACAATTATAGTTAATAAAAAAAATTATCAATATTTAAGAATAGAGAGGTCCCACCCCCCTCCCCGCCCCCCGGTCACCCTGTATAATATACCTAGAGTGCCAGTTTAATGGTTTGAGATTAATTCTGTCTGTATTCTACAGTTGTGGATTCAGGCTGTAGGAAAGACATTGCTAATGGAGACACATTGTTTTCAGAGGTGCTTCGTTGATCATGCGCCTTAGTACACTTGTTTCTGCAGCGAGGTGAAGTTGTCATTTGGACGTGTCAGGTTCGATTCCCAGCATGGTAATTACAGCTTTCGATTTTTGTGTCATCTAACGTGGCCTTCTATCTTTCTACTACTTTCTATAGGCGCCGTTCAGTACATTATCGTTTATTTATTATGTGTAAAGTTTCCACGGTTTCCATGGTTCTCCGACTCCAGGACTTCCGGAAAGGATTTTAGTTCTGCTTTAGCAGTTTCCTGTCTGTCTTTTCGAGATTACTGCCTATTCAGTTATCACAGGGAACAGCAATGTTGCCACTTTGGATGTTTTACATCCAGATTTAGATGTTTCCCCTTGCAATTAGATGGAGTTTTTGACATTTAGATAGTAGATGTCTTTCTAGATGTTTTTATACTGTGGATCTGACATTGAAAGAGACGCTATGGGGGACCGGTGGCGACCTTAAACGCACAATCCTATTTGTGACCCAGACGTGACTCAATGTTAAGCATGACTGATGTCGAACGCAGAAAAAGAAGAAGAAAAATATGTTTTTATTTGGAGTGAATTATCAAATCTAACCTAAGAAACAGGATGAAATTTGACCTCTTAAATGCTATCTTGACAATAAAATTCGGCCTGATAAGAGTAGGAAAAGGCTGTTCTACTTATCAGCTCCCTGATTGAGTATTAAAAGAAATTGGAATAGCTAAAGCATACCAGTAATTTAGACCTGAAGCTTCAAATTCATCCTCCAAGCTAAGTTTATCCTATGGATCTTGTTAGGCGGACTTCAGTAAAGATGGGGACATGATTCTTTAGGGTAAGTAATATCAATTGCTATGTAATTTGTGACTCTTTCCATTTAGATGTTTTTTTTATATACATGTTTTCCACACACATTTAGATGTTTTTAGATATTTTTTTACTCTGTTTTGGATGTTTTTTGTCAAAGAAAAGTGGCAACACCAGAGAACAGTCTTCTTCTTCTTATTCTTGTATCCTTCTGTTAGAAAACCTTGTACCCGGAGACCAGAAACCTTGATAAAAGCTATCGTGCAGTCCAAATATCCCCGTATGCCATACAATCAATCAATATAGCCCTTGATCAGTTAGGGTCGTTGGTGTGTATCGATGAAAGCACTAGAACACAAAACCCGCCATCTTTCTTTGTATCTCGCTTGTTGAACAAGTGTGTAGTAATTTAGTCCTACCTATTTCTAGTTGTTGTCATTTCAGGTTCTTGTCCCGCCTCAGGCCCATACACCCCCTTTTCTTCGACTAGCCCACTCACCCCAAATGTTCCTTCAAGTATAGTCTTTGCTTTCGAATTATGGCTCACCACGTACCCAGACAAAGCTAGCTTGTGTGCCATACAGCCTTGTTTTGATTGATGTTGCAACAGGCCAGATTGCTTTTCTGTTAGCAGCATAAGTCTAAAGCAGTGATGTCCAAACTGTGCGCTGCGGCGATCCGGGGAGCCGCGATCTATCCACAGGGGGGCCGCGAAATATTCGAAGATACGCGTTTTTTTTTTTTTAAATTTCTTACATACATACTTTTACTTAGGTTTGCGCGCCGTGGAAAAATAGAAAAGTGGTGCCGCCACCAAGAAAAGTTTGCGAAACACTGGTCTAAAGTATTGGAGTGCATGTTTATGTGCCAGGTTGCAGGGACACGTCTCCATGTTTCCGATGCCAATTTTATGGGGGTTTCGTTGAAACAGGAGCGTTATAATTATGGAGTGGTCTGTGATTATGAAGTTAGGGTCGCGAAAAACGATCTATGACTAGTTTCCTGTGTTATCAAACCAACGACACCAGTAAATGGCCTACCAGTAGTTTACAGAAAACAAAAATATAATATATTATTGCAAAAATAACAAATGACTAATAGCAAACTATCAAAAAAGTGCAATAACTTAATAATAATCATGTTTATGCAGTGTTTATATTATTTTAACTGTAAAAATCCCACTTTTAAATCTGAAAACAATTTTCCAGAAAAAATATGAATGCATACACAGATTTATAGAATCGCAAGCAGACTGGCTTACACATATGGCGTCCACTCCAATTAAAACTGGCACAAGAAGCTAAATGATTTTACTCTTATCTCCTCATCTTGGGGTAAAGAGGCATCTAGTTCTCTTCAATAAAAGTTTTTAAAAGTTTAGAAAACCCACATATACGATTGTATTCTTGTGCTTTGCAATTAGTCTGTAGAAAACATTCTCAGATCAATGTCTGCCAATCTTTGTTAACTCTATTTGGCTGGCAGACAAAGAAGCACGAGGGATCCCGTACATGACAAATGGTTTCCCGCCCAACGATGTTTTGTTGCCAGATTTTACAACTTTCGAAACAAAGTCTATCGACCGCTGATTGAGGTGTTTCCTGGACATGTCCCCCTTCTGTAGCCAAACACGCCCTCCTTGCCGCAGGAGGATAACTGTTGCCAGCTGGCGATTTACCTGAAACGATATCAATACATTTGTTAAGATTACCGGACGACAAAAGAAAGTACACAGAAACAATTGTGAACATTTTGGGAAGCCGCGATAGCATCGCAGTTAGACGCCCTCCTGCCTTCCAGTCATGGTAGCGGAATTTTCCAAAAATTCTAATTGGCTCCCAGATTGACCCAGCCTTAAAACAATGGTACAAGTCACTGCCTAGGGAAGTCAAGGCGGCTGGCGTAGTGTTTACCATTACACCAAAAGAATGCGGATGGATCTATTCAAATATGAGTCTAGTATCACGTGTTTGATGCGCGAAAATGGGTCCTTTATTATTTTATGTAAGTATTTTGCAATGACATTTTAAAGTGGCATTAATATATATCTATTTAAATAATACGGACACAAACAAAAGATTGCACAATTTACTGCCTACCATATTTCGCTGTCTCGTCAAGTGCGTTACATGAATCGTTGTCTTGCTGAAATGCATAAACTACATTGTCGAGTTGCTGTACATCATTGATTCATGTTGTGATTCATTTTATGTTGATTTAACTCTGTATTAATGCAACTGACGAGATTCAGCGAAACATGACAGGCAATTAATTGTGCAATATATGGTGTGTGTCCGCATTATTTGACATTACAACGGGAAAATATTCTTTAGAATATAACCATTTGTCAGATTCTGCTCTGTTTGGCATCACATCTGGGATCAGCTCTGCAACTCCTCCTCCTCCTCTTTTCTTCCTCTTCTTCTTCTTCTACTTCTTCTTCTTTAACGTTCACCAGGAGTAAACTCCGGCGAAAAGTTCTGGCTGCTCGTCTACTTCTGGACTTTGGCCTTGTTCCAGAATTTGAGTTTTAAGTGCAGATCCGTTTTACAGATGTGGCTTATTTGTATGCAGATACACCTTGACTTCGAAAAAAACACACAAATTTAATCGCCTTGTACACGACATGCATGTTAGTGGGCAGTGAGTCTATTCTTTTCCCCCTCAGAAGAGAGCCAAAGATCCCACAGGGAGAATCCATCTTATATATGTGCGGGTCTGTTTATTTGACCATCAGTCTTCTGACTGCGTGACAACCTGTTCATCTATCTGTACACTTTTCTTTTAGTGTTTTATCACCTCCTTACCACCCCCCCCCCGCCCCATTTACGTAAAAAAAATAATCTCTAACTAATCAGTTTACCTGTTTTCTCCAAGTCATCCAGGCGTTGTATTCAGGACTTCCTGGTGCAGGTCGCGACCTTTCATCACCTTCCAGTCCAGCATCCCTGTTCTCCATCCCCACCGTATGATCCTTCTGACACCCGGCTCGGCATTCGACCAACAACCTTCTATTCAAACCTGTGCTCTCTTGGATACGGAAACTCCTCCTCAAGTCCCTTCTCTCCGAAACAACGGGTCGCTTACTTTCTGGTCGTATATTTAATTCTACAGAACACCCCGCAGTTTTACTGATGTTTGCAGTTTTAAATTTAGCCTTGTCTCTGTCAGTTTTATTAAGATTGTTTAGATATTGCAGTTCTGAATTCTCCTGTGCAATATCATAATCTGGCTGCAAATCATCGATCCAAGTTTCATTCAGCAGCAGATCTGTAGGAATCGTAAAACTGGAATAATCTGCGGTTGGGGTATCGTCCAGGGTAGAGTTCCCTTGTTGCTCTTTCAAAGCCTGTTCTAAAAATCGCAACAGTTCTTCATCCCACAGTTCGATTGGTGGAGCGGATGGTACTGTGGGTTCTTCATTGGAAGCAGTATATTCCTGTTTATTTTGGTTGTCATTGCTGCTTAGGACGCTCTGGGAAATGTTTGGATATAGCATCCCTGTCTGTGGTACCTTGTTAATGTGGTCTAGATGATTGCTAATATTTTTGTCTTTTGGCTTTAGACTGGTTGTATTGTCTTTTCTGTGTAGCTTGTTCTGTGAAAGAAGAAGGTCAATGTCGTTGTCTTCGATGTCATGGTAGCCGTGTCCATAGAACTTGGTCAAGGTCGGGTACAATCTAGAGGTCGCCATTTTATTCTGACCTCAAGAACTTGACCCAGAAGTATAGTATGTATTTACGTATAGCTGTTCTTTGTCTTGTGATGTCACACACGTTTCTGGAAAAAAAAAATAAGGGATTTTGTTGTCGCCCTAAAAACACACCAAATCTATAATTAATAGCGCTACTGATAAACATTAGCACATTTATGCGTTTCCTTGAGGATGCACACAAGACAATCATGATTGAAAAGAACGGCACAGCGGTAGGGAACAGAGGATCTGATCTACACTCAAACACTCAGAGGAAAGTCAAGACAGACAGACAAACAGACAGACAGACAGACAAACAGACTGATATTGGTACCATCGGGGCGGGAACACTGCGCTGGCTGTTGAAGATGGGAAAGGGCGCTTATAGGAATGTTTTCAGTGCTTGATGTCGTTTCTTAACTTAACTCAACTGATGAAACAGTTCATTGACTGGTTTGCAATCTTTCCTCTTCTACCCAGTCACTAAAATTTAGTTTACATCTTGTTTAGTCCCCCAACTTACTGCAGCATATAGCTTTTATGGTCATATTTTATCAGAACTTTCAAATTTTTTTTTTTCAATGGACAGAATATCAGTGAATTATCTGGCCACAGTGCATTACTTTGTACATTTACCGACCCTGTTAGAATCATGAAGAATCCAAATTTAAAATTCCTGCCGGTTAAGTTAAGGACAGGTTAAACCCTTAAACTGAATTTGATTATACCTGCTGGAAACAATACTGCCTGTAGGTATATACTAGCTAAAGATTGTTAGACAATTAATTTTGGGGCTAAAATCAACATATTTTCACCGATATTGATTTAAAATGTCATATTTTATGCGGAAACTAGCTAAATTTAATCAACATTTACGAAGATATTTAAAAAACTAACAAATGTGGCTTATTGAAAATGTGCACAATAATTTAGCATTATATTTTAAACGTTATGAACTAAAGAAAATTCACTGAAAGCTATGGTTTAAAAGTTATGCTCACTTCAATGGTACAATAATGTTTTTTTCTCCAAAAAATGAGGGGTAAGGGTTATCATAGATGATAAAAACTTATAAAGTATTCCAGCTGCTGTATTCATTCTAGTTCAGTCTGTTTCAATGTTATTCTCCTTTGTGTGGAGACAGTATGTTACTCACTTTTTGGGATATCATTGCACACAGGTAAATTTATAATATGTATATAATATATTATGTGTATATAGTTTCGTTGTCCAGCTTCTGAGTTGAGTGCATGGCGTGACACTGTGAGCTGCGGATTTCTTTTGAAATGTGATAAACATTTTGTGTGTTTTTCGTTGGCACAGGAGCGCAGCAACTTTGGGGTGACCCGTCTGCTATGAAGCTAAAACTAAGATTACCAGATTAACAGATTATATTATGTATATTTTATACTTAACATTTTTGTTATAAATGAATAAAAAAAACAACAACAAAACTATATTTTTCTGGGGCGGGCGAATGGATTATTTGGATTTGCACTGATGTCAACGGAAAAATATGTTTCGCCTCGTGAACCTTTCAGTTCACCAACGGTGTCAAAGAAAGAATACAGTTCGTGACCCGGGGTACCACTGTACATAATCTTGCTGGTCAAGTGTGCTCTAGTTAAATTATACAAACAGACGGTTGAACTTGATATCTGGTGCCGGGGGAGGAGGTTTTGTTTTTATGTACTAATGTCCGAGATGCGGTTCCTCTAGTCGCTGGGGTATCAAATCTTTCAGCAGCAGCCCAGAAAAAAGGGGGGAAAAAAAAGGGGGGGGGGGTAATTCATTTGGCAATGTCTTTAAAAACGAGGGCCTAAACAATATTTTACTTAATGTATTGCTCACCATAATCTTGGTGTGGGTTCTGGGGGGGGGGGGGACATTTAACTATTGGGAAGCGGGGGGGGGGGGGGAAATAACTCAACGCCCTTCATACAAGGCGATTGATTGGGAGTATTTCTTTAGAAGTCCGAGTGCATCTACCGGAGCGGCGAGGAACAAGCGGTCTGCCTACACATCAATTTGATCAGTAAAACGGATGGGAACGCAAAACTCACGTTCTGAAGCAAGTCCACACTAGGCGACCAAGCAGAACCTTCCGTCAGAGTTTATAACCTGTGAAGGCCAAGAAAGAAAAAAATCTTACCGTATTTCAATGTATCCCCTGCGGTGCATTGATACAGAGTTATCATTATATAACGAAGCGCAAAAATGGGTGCTTTCGTTTTTATTCACCTTAATCAGACAGTCCAATATTTCAGGGGGTGGTAGATAGGCTGTATGCAGTCGTGAGACTTGGGCTGCACTCTAGTGGGACGTAGGTGGGTTGGGGTAAGGTCCATTTCTAGGTTTTTTGGGGTAGTTAAAAGCACCACAAAGCCGGGAAACCCGGTCTTACCACCCTATAAAATATTGCTTTGTCCCCGTGACGTCATCTGGGGTTACTTATTACGAAAGAACCCAAAATAAATCCTTTCAAAGGAGCTCAACAAACCACATATTTCTATTACTACATTGCTTATCTCACATCTTTTGTGTCTTCATTATTCAAATGCTCAGTGGGAATATGGTCTTTCATAGAATGCATTCTACTTCACACGGATAGATTGTATGGTTACACAAGCGAGTCAGATAATAAAAGATGTTCAGGCGCGGGTGTTAACTGAAACCAAATCATCGTGTCAAGAAGCCAGAGTATTTAAGTGGGATAAACGTCACAAAAGTCGTAACCACGCACTGACACGATGAAAGGATAAAGACGTCATTTGTACAAGTAAATATGAGGGTGGAACTCATTTATTCTTCTCGAATAGTGGGCGTTCAATCTTCCGTACAACACAACGATTTCTGTCTACATTTACCTGATTGATTCTAAAAATCAAATGAACATTTTCGTCCCCCTTCGAATGAAAATAGAGGGAAAGGGAGAGACATAGCAAACAGATGACGTGCCCTGTTAGATACCTTGAATATTTGCATCTTTACATTTCTGCGTCGACTCCCAATTCCTAAGCCGTAATGACATTCAAACTCTCAGTCAGGCCAACCCAGTCGCTCTTCTTCTAAAAAAAAGTCTGTATTTGCTCTAAGTCTGTTTGCCCTCGCCTTACAAGAGTTTGCGGAAGCTGTGCGGCCTCAAACAAACGTGTCATGTGATAAGATGTAATATATTTACCGTTAAACCAGCAAGGGAAGTCAGAAAACATGTACACAGATGTAGACACACTCATGGGCAAATAAATATTGAAAATTGAGGTGTGGGTGTTGAGAAGTTTGTGGGGGAGGAATTGTGCGGAGGAATTTAAAGTTCCATTTGATTGCTTTGAGACATCTTCAATAGTCTCAGGTGCTGGAGACATAACGTAACAGAATTATCTGGACTCGATGGCAGATGTTGTCACAAGCTGCCTTTGCTTCTGATTACACTTCCAGTACCCATTTTAGGCTACGTTTCCTTTTTGTATTTACTATTTTGTTATTTATTTTATTTTGGTGGCCGTAAGTGCGGTTGGTGGTAAGTCGCATTTATCGTAAATCAAGGAGAAAGTGTGCAGCTGAACGTTTCGGCCAAAGTTGTTTTTTTTCCAACTGTATACTAAACACCCCCTTCCCCCCCCCCCCCCCAATAAAAAAAAATTGTGATTTGAAAACTAATTAAACAAGACACCAGAATAAAGCCACTGCTATTTGATGTGACCAAAGTATTTCATAGAAAGAGACAATCCAGACAGGCTTTGGGAACAAAAACTTTATAACAAAGTCAACGAGACACAAAAGATCAAATGTTAGCAGATAAGATTACACCGGAGAGGATACCACGTGATATTGTCCTCCTCGTCGCTTCGCTGTTGACTGAGTATGCGTGCACGAACTAGCTTTGACGTAATATTAAATGGGAGCATTCACGCGTGATAGTTTCCGTATGAGTTGCGTAAGCATAATGTGTTCTGTTCACTATATTGGAGACGGAAACCTAGTATAATGCATTTTTCTTTGGCAATTTAAAGTTTCAGCGAGCATAACAGCCGTTACTTGCATGCCTCACCTGTGGTCTCTACAAAGCATATTCATTCCCACTCTATGCTACCAGTGTCAAACATGGTCACTCACAAGAAGCTATAAAAGAGAAGAGTAACCATGGACCTGAGATGTTTCATATGAGCTGTTAAATGAGGTCGTAAGAGAAACAGTCGGCAAAAAAACTAATTCTAAATTACCCACAAAGGTAGCAAATCAAATTGTTTAAGCACTTGGAAAGAATGCATTGTGGCCCCAAACCATACAAGGCAGACACCAAAAGAGTAGAAAGACGTAGAGTACAAGGTAAACCAAGAACAAGATGGAAAGATAACAACAGAGAAACTCTACAATAGTAAAATGCATGTATGGTCGAAGCAGCCAGAAGTGCAAGAAACAGAATCTTTTATCTCCCTTGACACCTAAAGCCTTGAAAGAGGAAGAAGAAAAAGAAGATAGGCCCATATGAAATTATGGTGCTTTATTAATATCCTACACCAAACAGGGGAAATCCACAAGTCACTAGACAGTCTATTCTAATATTTCAGGGGGTGGTAGATAGGCTGCACGCAGTCGTGGGACCTAGGCTGCGTGCATTTGTGGGTCCTAGGCTGCACGCTCTCATGGGACGTAGGCGGGTTGCGGTTTAGGACCAGTTCTCGATGTTTTGGGCTTGATAAAAGCATCAGAAAGCAGGGAAACCCAGTCTTACTACCCTATATTTTGTTGGACTGTCCTGTGACGTCATCTGGGGTAAGAACCGAAATGATAATATTTTACCATTGCTATCCAAAAAGCGCAGAACCACAATCTGTCCTCCCCAAGTGGCTTAATGGCAAAAGGACAAGATTTGGATGATGTTGGTGATGACATAAACCTAAATACCCCCCCCCCCCCCCACCCACCCACCAACGCAGCTCTAAATAGCTTTGATCTTTATGTTAGTTTGCAAAGTGCACTAACTAATATTTATTCCC